TTTTTACCTCGATCTGTAGACCAGGCTGGCCTTGAACTCACAGAGATCCACCTGGCTCTGCCTCCCGAGTGCTGGGATTAAAGGTGTATGCCACCACCGCCCGGCTGTGTGTATTCATTATACATGGTACGGTGTTGTATAAGGATATTGTCATACAAGTCTATATTGTACTTGAAGTACATTCATCTCATGCCCCCTACCATCTCCTTTCTCCAGTCCCTCTTCCGATAAATCCCCCATTTCCCTTGGAGAGCCTCACCTTTACACACACACACACACATACACACACACACACACACACACACACACACACAGAGACCATGTGTATATCTATGATGCTCAGTGTATGCCTATGTATAGAATCCAGGAATCATATATGCAGAAAATACAGAGGTGAAATCACTTCATATGACTATCTCCAGTCACACACTTGGATACCTCACTGCAAATGCCTCTGTCGGCCTGTGATTCAGAAAGCATCATTGTCAAAGAAAAAAAAAAAATGCTAAGTGGCCTCTGTGCTCCATAGCCGGAATGCAGTCATAAAGGACAGGGATTCCTTTTCAGACATGGTCATCTTGGCCAGGTACAGTGGTTGGGCCTCAGTCATGCATGGACTGCTTGTGTCCTCACTGTGCTAACTGGACTCTAGACAAGTGTTCTTGGTGGACATAAAAACAAATGGGGCTCTGAGCCTTCACGGGGACAGAATAAATGTGCTTACGTACTTTGAATATTGTTCATAATGGTGCTAAGTAATCAATTAATTCTTACTTGTGCTTGTTCTTTTTAAAAGTATTAGAGAGGAAGATATCCACCAGACAAAGTAGAGAGGAGCTGATAAGAAGGGGCCTCCTTAAAGAATTGCCTGACCAAGGTGAGGAAATTTGTCTTACGTTTAAACGAATTGGATTCCACACTCTCTGCTCTTTCCTTTTCTTTTGGAATTTAAAGTTACCATGGTCATTGTCAGATAAAGTAGCCAGTGGTGCACACCGAGAATCTTGCTCCCACCTGGAATGTCTCTCTGGGTGGCCAAGAAGCTGAGGTGTTCTGGAACAGACGTTCAGCTGGTGACGTCTCTAGTCAATCCTTCTCCTCTCTGTAGGTTGCTTTAAACTCTGTGCTCTTCAGGCTGTTGTGTTGGTAGCTAGAGATACAGATCAAGATGCTTGCCTGGCTCCTTCCCTCCTCTACCTCAGGCTTGACTCTTCTAGTCAAGTTAAAGTTGATTGTTTGAGTGAGTTCAGTTTGAGTTTGTTCGTGCCTTACTTGATCCTAAACACTGCCAATAAAAGAGATAGCAGAGCTTTGCGTCATGTCCCTCACATTGTCTAATGTATTCATTCATGTTCACAGACCAATAAAGCATGAGTAGACAGCTTAATTTGCCTTAGGCTTTCTCCCAAGTAATCTGTTCCTTATTTGTTTCTCTGAGTCTTGTTGCCTCTCACCTTGTTACCTATAATTCTCTCCAAGAGTTTTTTGTTTTGTTTTGTTTTGGTTTTCTCTTTTCTTTCTTCCCTGTTACCTCTATCCTCTGAAGGAGGGAAGTTGATTAGAAAAGACAAGTATTATGTAGAAATTAAGACTGTCTCTCAAAGAAGACACCAACACAGGTTATTTCACCCAATAAATAATTTCATATTATTTTCTTTGCTCCCACTGCCATTAAAACTAAAGGAATTTTGCTACCATACTAATGATTTATCTCATTCTTCTCCTTCATTCCTCCAAGTTTACTGGGCAATGTATTATTATTGAGACTTTATGGGAAGAAATAAAATGCTATGGATTTGGAATTTAAATAATGATACTTCCATAAATAGATAGATAGATAGATAGATAGATAGATAGATAGATAGATAGATAGATAGATAGATAGATAGAGATGATCATATATGTTCCTTATAAAGAATGTAACATTTTGGCACATACATTGTATATTAGTCGAAATGTCATGTTTTTTCCAATACTAGAATAATGCCAATGTGCAACTAGGAAATGCATGGCTGCTTCAGAAGGAGTGAGGGAAACCTGAACGGAATAATACCATTTTGATTGAGCAAATCATCACAATTTTAGAAATTGTCTTTTGCATTTCTGACTTGTCAAGTTTTTCCCACTCATCTTTGTTAATGACCTTTTTGTATTTTTCAATGTGCTATTTTTTTGAAGTTACTTGTTTTCCTGCCTTAGAGCTTTAAAAACGAAAAATGCTCACCTTTCCCCTTCCTAATAGGAGATAGGTATGCAGGAGGTAGGCATTCAGGTGGTAGGCATGCAGTGTCCAGGTCCATCTCCCACCAGTCTCTGGAAGCAGCAGAGAAACTGCAGCTGAACCCATACAATCAGCTTTGTGGAGTGACCCATGCATTTGTTCTGCGTCCCTTATATGAAAATGTCTCAAAGAAAGAAAGAGGAGCTGGAGGGATTACTCATCAATTAAAAGTGCTTTCTGCTCTTGCAGAGGATGTGAATTTAGTTCCCAGCACTCACATTAAAGGCTCACACCTGCCTGTAACTCCATCTGCGGGAAATTCTGGTTTCTGAAGGACCTGCATGCATGTGCACGTATCTGCATGTAGACACATACACATATGCACATAATTAAAAATAAAAATAAAATCTCATTAAAAAGAAAAGGGAGAGATTATGATTGAAGCCTGTTATTGAGATTAATGGTAGAGCTTACAGGCCAGATGTGTTCCCTAATTCAGAAGTGCCCGGGGAGACTGCTAGTTGGTTGAATTTAACTTTGTTACTTTGGCACGGTTCTCGTCTAAGACACCACAATTACTAATGGCCGAAAGTGTCCAACAATGCCCCTCGGAGATCTCCCAGTTTTCAAGTGCTAGAGAACATAGTTTTCTGTTTTCTCATTTTAGCCATCATCTTCCCCAGAACAATTATCCTGAGAATCCCTGTCTGAACGACCGGATATTGCTGTGGTTTTGTGACAGCCTCTCTCCATCAATGAGGATGCACTTGTGGCCTCTGTCTTCTTGACATTGCTGAAGCTCTTGACAGGGCATGTCAGTCATGAGCATCATCTCATGGACCACATAGACCTTTTAAGTCCCTTCAGCTGCTGTGGCTGTGACTTCACCCCACCCTGTCCTGCAACCTCTGTCTCGGCTGTGATTATTATTCCTTTCAGATTGGGTTTTTCACACCGAGCTGAACTTCAATCTAAAAGTTCACCAAATGATCTTCCCTCCTGAGAAGCCCCCACAAGTGCTCCATTCCACGTCAGTCCCTATTGACTTCTTTGCCTCCATCTTTTCTCGTGTCTGTAATATGAGGGCACATAAGGGTCTTACCTGCTTGCCTGACATCTGCATTCCATATATTCTAGTGTAGTTCCCTCTCCTGAAGAATCACTTTTTTTTTTTTTTTTTTTTTTTTTGGTCACATGTGACCTTCTCCATGTCATGGTTCCCCTACTTTTACTTCGAGCTGAACATCCTTTTGTGAGTTCTCCTTACTTTGCAGTCATGCTTTTCCAATGTGTCGCCTGTCCCTACAGCCTAGGCCTGGCTCGGCACTATCTTCTCTTTCTGGGCTTATATTTTGCTTGCATAGCTTCCTATATCAGGGCTTGAGGTTTCTAGGAAAGCCTTCAAGGTATAGACGCCACTCACTTTAGTATCTTTAGTAGGTTTCCTGAAATATGAATATTTCCTACACATAATCTTTTTTTCTGACATTCTCTTATATGCATTATTTTTATTTCATGACTCAGTGTAAGCACCTTTCCACATGACTATTTTTCTGCCATGCATACTATTATGATAATATTCAAGTTTTTCTATAGTTATTTTTTTCTAGTGCTTTAAAAATAAGTTATTTAAACTGATAAAAATATGATCACTTAAAATTGCATTAAATTATTGTTGACATGACTTTAGGATTCTACTAATGATAGTCAGAAATCCCAAATAAAACCTTTATTTGAATTCATTTAAAAGTAAGGATTTATATATAAAGAAGTGGGATTCTTTTTCTGTTTTGTTTAGAACTGTCCATTGTATATTACTTTTATTTTATCAGTGTATTGTATGTTCCTTTTTCCTTTTTTTTAAAGTAATTGCTTCGAGTCCATAAGTTTTACCTAATGTTATTGAAATTGTGAAGGTTCATTTGTAATGGCATTGTCTTCGGTTATTGTCTGTTTTACTTTTCTATAGGAATCAGAATGCAGGGCCTTAGGAACTATGTGATTAAGTGACAATTCCATTTTCATTTTCAACATGGCATAATTCCATTTTTATTTTATCTTTGGAAATGTTATGGTCTTTGTTTAACAAGAAGGCCTGTGAATTTTATGAAGGAAATCAGTGAAAATGTGAGAAATAGTTTATTTTTCAAGACAGAGTTTTTCTATGCAGCTCTGGCTGTCCTGGAACTCATTCTGTAGACCAGGCTGGCCGCAAACTTAGAGATCCAACTGTCTCTGCCACCTAAGTGCTGGGATTAAAGGCATACACCACCACTGCCTGGCTATGATCTCTATTTTGTAATGATTGCCAAGAAATTAATTTTAAAAACTGCATAGAAACAACTCTGCTAATAAATTTCTTCAAAATAGTTTAAATCACAACTTTGGTTCCTTAATTTTCCCTTGTGGTGGTAGCAAAGCCCCTTGCATGTTTATATGTGTGGGGATAATTACTGGGATAATCCTTCCAAGCACCACTGACTTCTGCAAATCCCTTGAATTTTAAACACCTTCAGGACTTACAACAGTCCAGAAGATAAAATTAGTTGTTATGGTTTAGAATATGTGAGGAATTCCACTTTAAGCAGTACATTTTAAAAATTCTTTTTTAGCTAGCTTTTTAATGTATGTTCTTTAGCTATTATTTTCTTCCAATAACAAAGAAAATTTTTTTAAAAAATGAAATCAACCTTAAGACCATCTTTTCCCTAAGCAATGGTAACAGTTAACTGCTGTGTAGAGTGTGGGCATCATTGTCTACCATGCTCACAGTTACACTGCTGTATAGAGTGTAGACACTGACTAACATGCTCACAGTTACACTGCTGTGTAGAGTGTGGACATCATTGTCTACCATGCTCACAGTTACACTGCTGTGTA